TACCCACCCATTACATATCATGTGCGTGTGCGTGTGAAGAATCGAACATAACGTCAAACATTCGTATGTTGATTCAACTCCCACCCTCAGAAGTCAATTATCTCCTTTCTCTGCTCGTAGGATTCACACACCCCCAAACTTATTTTCTTTTCTCTTCCCAAGATGTATTCTAAAGTTGATTTTCAATACTAATTTCTTACACATTCAAAGTTTGGTTGGAATTTACTAATTGCAGTTCGACATATCGGTAAGTGTAGATTCTCCTATTTTTGACTGCTTCAACCTTCAAGAATCAACCAAGTTACTAACCTCTTGTCAAATGCATACTCCTTTAAAACAAGTGTTCGAAGCTTAATCAAGCTTAAAAACGATTTTTCTTATTCTTTAACCCCTCTTTGTGCGGTCGTCTCTCCCTTAAATTTTCTAGATGACCCCTGTAATGAACTTTAGGCTCATGACTCTCAAGTCAGACAATTTTAGGGCACCATATATTAAACCCTTACAGGCTTAATCACTCGAGTCATAAAGGCTACAAAAATATGCTTCACAATGAGCTTATTAAAGTTGTTCTCATTGGGTTTTTTTTTTGCTATGATTAGTGCAATGCCCCTTATTAAACATCTGTTCTCAAAAATTGGCCCTTAACTAAAAGTGTTTACTCAATTTTCATTCCATTGGTCTCAGACAGTCCTCACAGAATTTGGCTCACACGGAATCCACACCCATGTCCATGCCTTCCTACAACAATTTGCCCATCCAAACTTTCTTAAGATAGGTTAAAGGATGTGAATACTATTATATAAATGGCTGTTTGGATTCAGTTTCTAGGGTCATTACTTTAACCTATATCTAATTATGAATCAACTCACTCTTATTCACCGCTATACTCAATTCATGTGGATAAATGTCACAATAATCTACAAGGATAAGTAACACTTTAATTCAGGCAACTGACTCATCCATAATCCACAACCGATCTAGATTACAAATATATTTATCATTGTTAACAATGTTATCCAACTCACACAAGCATGCAAAATAATAATAATAATAATAATAATAATAATAATAATAATAATAATGCAAATTTTTAAATTTTTTTATAGAAAGCAAATTAACACGCACATCATGCTTAGAACACGAATGCAACACAATAAAAGCAGTAAAGAAAATGCTCGACACAACTAAGTTAAAGTAAGACCCCCAAACTTAAACCACACATTACCCTCAATGTGAAAATGAAAGAAGGGGAAGAGAAATACATCAGGGAAGACATCAACTGTCTTCAACGCCATCAAGTGGAGCGAGAGGGTGTGAATGAGGTGGAAATGGTGGCGGTGGAGAGAGTGAGCTCGAGGTGTGCAGATGCCATGATTGCCATCTAAGCGTTCTAATACTGAAACTGGTAATAGATGGTGGATTGTAGATGATTCATTTGTATTTGCATGTCATCCTGTCATCGGGTCATAAGCAAATCCATGGCTTCAAGATGTCGAAGGATGTTTCCTGTAGCATCAAAAGGCTGTGGAGGCAGTGGTGTAGGCGGGGATGGACGAGATGATTGAGATGAGCCAGGCACGTCCCGATGTCCCACACACCTATCACGAAGTTCTCGCGCAAATAGTTGTTTCGGATGCAACACTTCGTCAGTTTCTCGCGTGGGAACATCCCCGTGTATGCAAAGGTCATAGATCAAAGATGGGTGTCCCAAACTGCCTGTAGCTAGTCCTGCTAGGATGCGAGGAACGCTGTTTTGAATGACCTTGCCAACATTAATAGAATATCCCTTCTGAATAACAAAATTCAGTAAAACCCGTTCCTTTCTAGTGGGGATCATTTTTGCTGATATGAAGTGGTGCCAAATTTTACAATTAGGTATCAAACCAGAGGCAAGGAAGTGAATCACATCACTAGCTGACCTTTTCCATTCAGTACCGAGGTGAGCTATAATGCGAATTATCAAATCGAGATCGACCCCCTCATCACGCATTCGGGAGTAGTCATCATTGGGTACATTCCACGTGTGGTAGAACCTGTTAATTGAAGCACTGTCAAACTTGATCCAAAAATCCCAAATAGAAACTTTGAAATTCTCGTGTTCAATGGCATTGGCATAAAATTTTTTCACCAAAGGAACGGATGTAGCTGTAGTGGCTTGGTAAACTTCTCTCATCCCAAACTACGTATTTTCTCAGGCAAAAAGTTTTCAAAGCCCCTCTCAGGAATGCAATTTTGGTATGTTACACTTTGTATATAGCGTTCCTCTACTTCGGGACTAATGAATCGCCTTCGATCAAATGCTACAGTAGATGAAGAGGCAATGACATTGGATTTCTTTTTAGGAGGCATGGTGTAAGTGTTCTTCCCAATATCAAAATGTCAAGAAGAGACGTGAAATTAACCACCTAAACCAATTCAATGAATTTGTCTTAGTAAATAAAGTATGTCCAAAGTAGTCACAAAAATCTCAATGAGACAATATATCGAACATGTGGTAGCCCAGAGGAAGAATCAAGTACACAGCATAATGCAAGCCACAAAAATGTCCCAAGAATGCCACAAAATAAATCTTTGGAAAAATTTATCAAACACTTTGTGGGTAAGATAACATATCAATTCTTAGGAAAATTTAAGCCCATAGAAATCTGCAAAATCACCTAACATAGATCGCAAAATAGGCAAAGAACTTCAATGAGGCAAAAGAACAAACAAATTGTGGGCACAAAACAAATCAATTTCGAAGAAAAATCAAAACCCACAAAATCTTTGTCAAAGGACAATCCAAAAAAAAATAGAGAATGTGACTTAGCCCCAAAAAAGATTACTACTAGAAATTCAAATCAAGTCGAAGGACGTAAAATTTCATTGTAAAAGAACGTACCTCTTGTGATGAACTAGTCAATAACCTTTCAAATCTAGTGAAAGTAGTAGATAGGGCTTGTTCTAAATATGAGTGTGTGTAGATGTGGGGTAGTATAAGAGATTTGGGTGTGCGCAAGTGTGGGAAGGGAGAAGAAAGAGACTTGAGAGAGTGAAAGGGGGGTGTGGGGGTAGGGAGATAAAAGAGAGAGACCATGTTTATTAAAAAAAGGGGGTTGGGCGCTACGACGCCCGATTTCCTGTTAAGTTGAAACTTAATTAATTTTTTTTTATTGTTGGCGCCGCAGCGCCCATCTATTATGAAAAAGTAGTTAATTTATTTATTTATTTATTTTTTTTTTTGCCTCCCATGTACTCCCTTCTCCATGTCGACTATAGTGTTGATGCAACCATATTTGACTATGTACCTACAAAAACACAAAGAAAATGAAATTACTAAATTTGTCTAAAAAGAAAAGAACATGGCTAACTAATGAGAAGAAATTCAAGGATAGAACTTGGGTTGCCTCCTAAGAAACGCTTCTTTTACGTCTTTAGCTGGACGTGGATGTGGTTTTAAATTGGTTCGTCAAGGGTAATTTCTTCCACATCTCGGTCTTCCTTTCTATAGTAATGCTTGAGGCATTGTCCATTTGCCTAAAAAGTAGACCCATCATTGCTCACTAACTCCACTACACCATAAGGGAACACCCTATAAATTACAAATGGTCCCAACCACCGAGATTTAAGCTTGCCCAGAAAGAGTTTCAATCGAGAATTGAATAGAAGAACTCGTTCTCTTGCCTTGAATTCCCTCCTTAGGATTCTCTTGTCATGCCACATTTTTGTCTGCTCCTTATATATTTTCGCATTTTCATATGCATCATTCCGAAATTTCTCTAATTTGTGGACCAACCAATTTCATGTCCAAATTCAACTTTTTCACAGTTTAATAAGCTTTATGCTCCAATCCCATTGGTAGGTGACAAGCTTTCCCAAATACCAGACGATAAGGTAACATTCCAATTGGTGTTTTGAAGGCGGTTCGATATGCCCAAAGATCGTCATCTAGTTTGAGAGACTATTTCCTTCGGTTGGTATGTATTGTCTTTTCCAAAATCTGTTTTATCGCTCTGTTTGACACATCTGCTTGCCCATTTGATTGTGGGTGATAACCAAGTGCCAATTTGTGCTTGACATCATATTTAACTAAAAGGGAGTTGAACAGCTTGTTATAGAAATGTACTTTCATCACTTACAATTACTCTAGGCGTGCCACCCCATGAAGTCTATACCCCACACATCAAATAACTCCACCTCAAGCATATTAGTTAATGGCAGCTCATGATACCTTGAAATGTTTTTAGTACGCTGAAAATGGTCACATGTCTTCACAAAAGTATAGCAGTCCTTGAACAGATTTGGCCAATAGAAACCAGATTGCAATACTTTTGCAGCAGTGTGTATAGGACCTGAATGACCTCCATAACGTGAGAAATGGCAACGCTGCATGATTGATTATGTTTCTTCCACAAGGACACACAGCCTGATTATTCTGTCAATACACCTCTTGAACAATATCGGGTCATCCCACAGATATGACTTGACATTATGTTAGAATTTTTTCCTTTGATGGAAGGTCAAGTCAAGTGGTAATCTTTCAGACACCAAATAATTAACAAAATCAGCTTACCATGGGATCCTTGTTGATACAGCTAGCAAGATCTCGTCAAGGAAAGTTTCTCAAATTTGACTGTCATCCACCACTTTCTCATTCTCTAACTGTGAGAGATGGTCTGCAACGACATTCTCACTGCATTTTTTATCCTGAATTTCTACATCGAATTCCTATAATAGCAATATTCATCGAATTAGGCGTGGCTTGGCATCCTTCTTTTCAAAGAGATATCGGATTGCAACATGGTATGTATAAATGATCACTTTGGTGCCAATGAGGTAGGATCTGAATTTGTCACATGAAAACACTACTGCTAGCATTTCCTTCTCTGTGTGGTGTAATTTAGTTGAGCTCCATTAAGGGTTTTACTGGCATGGTAGATTGCTCGAAAAATCTTATCATGCCTTTGTCCCAAAATTGCCCCTATTGCATAGTCACTAGCATTACACATAACCTCAAATGACTAATCCCAATCTGGCACTACAATCACTAGAGCAGTGATCAATTTTACCTTTATGGTTTCAAATGCCCTTAAGCACTCTTCATCAAATACAAATTGGTGTCTTTCTCTAAAAGGTTG